AGGGAGGGAGGAATTAAGGACTAAAAAACGCATAACTACTTACCTATAACTATCATCCGACTTAATATAAGTCACCAATACAAATACATCTGTGTAATATTGTCAAGGAATAACGAAGCAAGTCTTACAAACCAATGGCATTGCTTTACATTCGACCACTGTTATCACTGGAAGCCTCGTTTGAGTTGTATACATATTAATCTAATAAATCTAAATGCGCAACCGTTAAATAAAGAAACAATACTCTAGGGAATAAAAATAGTCTGAAATGGATAAATATTACACCCAAGGTAAAGAGGTTTTGCACCATCGCGTGTCCACGCACGGATGGCAGAACAATAGAATTCCTTTGTTCTTGGGAATTGAATTCTTTCTCATGTAAAACGATTGTATGGTTCCTACCATCTAACATATATGGCTGCCGTGACGTTGGTGCAAAATCTCTATTACCCTAACAACGTTTTGACTCGATCAGCGGTAAGTACTATCCATAAGATGTGCGAGCCAACTTAAAACTTCGCTGTAGACACGAATACGTGATATTAAAGTTTTGATGACAGCAAGGATACGAATAAATTTAGATTTCACTCCGAGTGGAGTAAAAGAAGGTTTATCGTCCTCGTTTTCTGTGTCTTGGAATACAACTGTTACTATGTCGTTACCTATGTGACGTTTACGCTCAACCTGCAACAAGAAATACAAGGGGCTTGAGTTTTTTATGATGATGATAAAGAGGGAACAGAGGAAACAAGTAAAGAAATTAATAACAAAAGAAAAATTTTAATAAAAGACTCTTAAAATTCTCGTTATGTATATTAATTTAAAATAACTATTTCATCTGCATTCATGAGCATATCCACATGAAATATGCGCATTATAAATATTAAATTATCATTATTATTACTATTATTATTATTATTATTATTATTATTATTATTATTATTATTATCATCATTATTATTATTATTATCATTTGCACGGGTTCAGGGTGTGAAATTTACACAACCAATGAATCTTCTATTTCAGTATGTGGCTATTCAAATAACAAGGAGGTTATATAGTTGACATCTTTAGGGGGAGGGGGGTGGGGGAAAGGAAGGAATACCGAACATGAAGTTGCATTGTGTTCCAGCAGAAATACAAAAATATGTAGTACATTCACGACTTGCTATACATCGGTTCTCTATTTCAACTATGCACTTACAAAGCATTCATTCGAGGCTGCAAGGTTCAGTTGAAAAAAATCCTTTTAAAACTAGCTACAGCTTGTAAGCTCTATTTAGCGCTTTGTGTGTGACCTGTGAATCGATGTATGAAAGAGGCATGGCGAATCCTTTGTTTTATCGTGCTTAACCTGGTGTTGTTCGATACCGAAGCTACACTGATATACATTGCACACATATGCAGAATGAAAAAAAGTGCACTTCAGAAACAGATTCTGTTTGATAGTTTTGATAGTAGAACATCAAGGACATTATGTATTAGGTTTGAATCCATGTTGGGTATAGACACCCAACAGGCTAGAAGAATGATGACGAAGACACCTGACTTTATGTGACTGCTGGACACAAGACCATATTCAGACAGAATGGCCCTAAGGTCGGAAACGCGCCAAACGGGAAAAAATGATGATGAACGGTAGATGGATTTTTTATTATAGAAAACGGAGAAGATGTAGTACTTACGGTACGGGTGCCAAGCTATACCAAGTATTCTCTCTCGGCTCATAACAAATCGTTGTCCGACTCTCATAAGGACTTGATCCTCTACCACCAACTAGCATTATCACATCAACCATCTTTGACCAAGTCCTCGCCATGGTACGTGGACTTCGAAGCGTTGCCCTAGTTACACTGTCGGCCATGTTGTATCGCATGGCTTCCATGACCATCTCCTTAGCAGAGGGAGATCTTTGTACTAGCTCTTCAGTTTCCACGTTTTGGACAAGTAATTTGTTGTTCATGAGGGGTAGACGAATAAATCGAAGAAGCTTGGCAAAGTGTACTCCGCGTTCTTTGCGATCGAAGTTCGTCCAGCGAACTAGGGCGTCAAAAATCTGTCAAATAGAGAATCAGATTAATCGTGTCGCATTGAACAATACTTTTATTGTCCGCAAGGTATTTCTATCGTATATATAAAATATACCTTACCCGATTTATAAAACGCGGGGGAAAATGCATGGGCCAGGAAGCCAATCATAGTTTGCTATCGTTATTGCTATCATTTGACTGCTTTAGCTGAGTAATTTCTATATTTAATTTTTCAGAAAAAATTATCCGAAACCGACTTCGTGGTGAATGGGCAAGTCTTCCTCATACTTGCACGCAGACTTTAAAATGTCGAACCGTGAGATGCAGCCGTAACTAATATGGACTTTCAAAGTTGCACTAAATGAATTCCAAGTCTCTCGTATTGGTCTTCAAAATCAAATATGGGAAGGCTGAGGCAGTACATGAGTAGCGGCAATGATGAAGTTTTTTCTCATATATGCATTGGTTATATATTGCGGTTAAAAAAATGGTTGAAAAAGTTTGTCAAAACAATGCCGCTTGTCTAAAAGAGTTGCCACGCAAACTGGCTGCTTATTGAATAAAAAAGCTTCTGCATTTGAATATAGTTTAGCCACTTCGATTATTACTCCAGGAATATATAAAATCAAACTATATAAGTAAAGCACGCATTCTACAGGTACCTGTTCCTCCGTGGCATGAACATCATCACAAGACAGGATTTCCTCCATTCTCTGTTCGTTCTGTTCCAAAAATTGCCCACTACGAGAAACTTCTGGAAAATTCTTACAAATAAACCTCCAGCTTCTTGCATATAGCTTCTTTTGTCCATAAAGAAGAGCAATGTCTTTAACTTGTAAACAGTTTTCTGAAGAAAGATATTTTGAAAGAGCAAACGAACATTCATCTGCGAGAGCTTGTAGCTTGAATAAACACGCCGCTCGCAGAACACCTACAGTATTTAATGGAGTTAGGTAAATAGTACCTCCATAGAGATAGTCTATAGTAGCGTCTAGAGATTGACAATCAATGTCTTCTGTTATATCAACATTTTTGACGAATTTACCCGACTCACTCTCGACAAAAAGAGCTCTGAAGTACGGACTACCGGAACCGAGGATAATCCGATGACAAGCGACCTTTCGTTTTCCATGTCGGATAGTAACATCACAAAGCGATCCACTTCTTCTCAATGAACGAAGAACGTCAACCAGATCTTTTCTATAGTTCGGGTCGTCGAATAAATAGATATTGTTTGGTTTGAGCTTGTTTAAGTTTGATCGTACTTCGCCGTGGAATGATTGTTTATCTGTCATAACGGATGTAAACTCGTGTTGCTAAATTGAACAGGTTGCGTAAAGAAAATACTCCTTAAAAGGCGTTAAGGACAAGTATCAATCAACATATATTCCTTCCTTACGCTATACGCTTGTAGAAGACGCAATACTCTGCTTTGCACTGCCCCTAGCCATCCACCTAGTGTTAACAAACCAACCAACGTTGGAACATTCTCGTAAGCATTGGCGGAAGTGTTCGATTATCACATCATGAAAACTTCAATCTTGTGGGTATTTTTAGACGAACTGTTTGAATTCAAATTTCAAGGTCATATTTGTGGTGAATTTACTGGCGGGACACAGCCTCATACAAGGAAAATGGTTAAAATTGCGTACGGGATGTAACATCAATGGTAAAGCTGGATTAACAACTAGCTATAAATAACCAACCAATTACAAGGCATCTTTTCAACAAAGCTGACAAAGGACGATGGGGCACAACTTGAACTTTTTTCGACCTAAGTAGGCAAATTTTGATCCATTTATAACTTTTTCTGAAGCACAAAAATTACAGTGCGACGTGTAAAAATCGTTTCTTGTCAATAGTTATGAGAAATTCACACTCGACAACGGCCAGAAAAATCGGAAAGCTATCTTTATTTTATAAGAACAAAAAATAACCCCAAGAATTGAAGTAAAAAACTGCCTGAAGCCGAAAATGACAATACTCAGAAAATCGTAAAACATTTGTTAAAGAAACATCTCGACTCACGAGCCATATTCGTATATATTGACATTTTTTATTACAAACTCATAAATACATTGGGATAAAAAGTTAAGACTAGTGGTCGTGTTTCTACAGAAGTTAATGATGTACAACGTATTTGTGAAAAATTTTCTTAAAGGTGAGCAGCTATAGAAAGCTGATGGAAGTGTTGATCTAAGCTGTACCTATGACCCCAATCCATGTGAGCGTCTAGTAATGTCGTCCCATTTCAGACCACGTGTTATTCCCTTGAAAATAGAATTCTGTGTGCAAAAGCCATATCAATATAACTACTCGAGCGTTGCAAGTTAAAAAGAAATAATACTCAAGGGAATGATGTGTAATCTGAAATGTGAAAACATTGTACTATGTCTACTACAGACATGTATCGTCGTGGCACACTTTTTTTCAGATTTTTTTTGCCGATTTTTTTGAGCCGTCTTTTTTTTTTTTTTTTTAAGCCAGGCTCCTGAATTATTTTGAAGGTGTAAACAAGTACACCATGAGAAAGGAAAGAGATTCAGTCCTTTTCCCTAGTTTTTCTTTTTGTTTTCCTTTATATTTCGAAAGGATTTTTGTGACTAAAGACGAAAGAGACTCAGTCTAACTAGCCATTCAGAGGTTGAAGAAAAACTTGAGATGATATTGCAGTGCATTGTGGGATTGTTTTAGGGGTTGAAATTAAACACCATCTTGCAATTGTCCTCTAAACAGTCCCACAATGCAATGCGATGCCAACTCGACCCATTTTTTCGCTCGACCTCGGATAGCTAATAGATACCCATCACGTACGTAGTTTCATTTACAAATCCTTTGGCTCAAAATTCCCTTTTGATGCGTTTTTGTACACTTATTTGCAGATAAGACGGACTCCCTGTTTAGTGAAAACACCACTCAAGACAATCCAAGTTATTTTCACCACTTGTAAAAATACTATAATTTCCAGAATGTACAGATAAGCCTTACTTTTGAAATAGAAAACAAAAGCAGATTTTAGGATAACAAAACAAGCAACTTCTGGATTCAAAGTTAAGTCCGCACGCTATGGTTCTAGAAAATATAGTACTTTTAAGAGTAGTGAATTCAGATAAGACCTTTTCTTTTCTTGTAGTCTTCCAGGTTAAGCGACCTTCGAGGTGTGCCGTCACGTTCTGAGTTCGGAGTCTGGGTGACAGTCGCAGAGGTGCGCGTTTCTGGAAGAGTAGATCGATAAATCCTCGTTATACTATGTTGTAGATCAATAGATACTCGTTATACTATGCTAAACTTGTACTAATAAAGCAGATAGACATTGACATACCGGGTAAAGGAAAGTTAAGGTTGATGGTAATATCGAAGTTATGAGCCGAGAACAAGTCTTCTGAGTTAGGTTTATTGACATCAGCTACAGGGGTTTCTGTTACGTCAATAGGTGTGTCTAGTAAACTATGGCTTGGGATCTACAAGGCAAGGAAAAATAAGATAGATATATGTGATAGGTTAATGGCCTTGAATGAGCACGCTATTGAATATGGAAAATTCAAAGCACAATTTCATGATGATGTTAAGTACATATTTTTTATTTTAACATATGTACATACCATACTCTCAAGCGTTCGTGTTATCTTTGGTGTCTAAGAAAATAAACAAATAAATAAATTAGAGTGTGTGTGTGCGCGAAAAAAAGAGTGGGGTGGGGGTTGGGGGTGGGGATAGGGATAGGGAGTAAGAGGAAGAGTGAGAGGAAGATTAAGTGTATGCGTGGATGATTAAGCAATTAAAAACTAAATAAATAATCAAACAAACCAATGGATAAAGGATAACATATGTGAACGGATGGATGAGTTCAAAACGTTATATTACCACTTACCTCTACTGGTTCTGGGACAGGATTGTCTTCAGGAGGGTCGGCAATAAAACTACCATCTATCAATGCTTGATTCTTAGCCTGAATATAGTTACGGAGAAAACCAATTAGTAGTGGCTATAAAACTCTCTATTTTGAAATGTTTTAAAAAAAGCAATCATGAACAATATCTGCAGTATGGGAGTTTTAAGTAGTTAATACGAGGTTTGCGAGACATGAAAATAAAAGAAATAAGATTTCACAGCTTTAGCAAAAAAGAAAAAAAAACCAACAAAACAATACAAAACAAATAAACAAAAAAACAACAGTTGTTCGTTACCATGGATACGAGTATTGGTAATGTTTTTCTTCTTGTGAACGGGTCATCTTTCTTCTCTTCTGTCCTCAACTCTTCCTAAAAAGAAAAGCGAAATGAGCAATCATTTTGAAAACCTTATTGATGGGTTGCAAGCATTCTAAAGAGAATTACAAGACAAAGGCATGGCGGAATATACATTATTTATTGAAAAAAGGGGTTATATCCTAAGAAAAAGTGCTGAACAATTCAAACAAACAGGAAAATCAAGCAAAAACGAAATACCACATTTTTTCGCACCCCTTTGTTTTCTTATAATAAAGAAATATGTAAAAAAACTGATTTACAGCATACGCACACAGTACAACATGCCGCCCCATTAATTCTATCCTAGAGAAGTTCTCACAATATCTTTACTAGTTTATGCGTCATACTTACAGCTGCGGCCTTCTCAGCCTCAATAATATTCCGTTTTCTGTTTCTTTCGTTAATGTAGCTAAATAAATAAAAGAAAGTTAGTCCAGAATCCTTCAATATATGTTCTGTATCCCACTACATAGGCTTAGGGCTGTAGAATGGAAGGATGTAAAACACATGCACTTCATCAAACTTTATGTAGCACAACAAGTTGATCAGAGTAAAGCATAAACTATAGCATGATAATGATTCATGATTTATATAGCGCCTTTTCTGTGTATGCAGCTATTTCAAAAAGGTTTGGGAAAGCTAGGTTTCGTTCAAGAATGATATGCAAGACGCGACATAACTTTCACCAACATATTTTTTGTATCATCAAAGGCTTTTACAATCATGAGAGATGGTTAGTATGAGGTGTAGGCACTGAGGGTGGTCACTGCCAAGGTTTCTTCACATCCTCAGTGGTTCTTTTAAGTCCCTCCAAAGAATGAAGAATGGTACTAACTTAACAAATCAGACAAATAGACTGGTGCAAGGCCATGCAATAAATATATAATAACTATAGCATTTTAATATTGGCAGCTCTAGTATCTTTTACAGATAATCTGTTACATATTATTGCTTACCTTATGGCACTGAGTCCTTTAGATCTTTTTTTATCCAATCCTTCTGCTTTTTCTTCAACGTCTTCAAGTTCTTGACGAATCTTGTCAGCTTTTTCAATATCCCCAGACTGTTCTGCAAGTTCCTATACATTTAAAACAAATTAATTTTTTTTGAATATTCCCGAAAATGTATAATATTGTGACATTTTATCACTATACTCAGGGGGGTAGTCAGGATTTTTCTTGGCGGGGGGGGGGGGGGNGGGGGGGGGGATTCAAAAATCTGCCATTTTGTTTACCCCCTCTGCCTACATCCTTTATGCCACCACTCTTTATTGTAGAAGAAAGCACAGCATTGTATTGCAGAACCTTCCTTTTACCACTGTGGCACAGTGAGAGGTGAATACCCCTAGCTTGAATCTGGATACATTTTTGTGGTATATTTGGATGGGAATTAAAAGTTTTTTCTTTGGTGTCTCCAGTCTTCTTAGATAAGGATACTTAACAGTAAAGGCCCCTCTAACAGCATTACTAAGATGCATAATTGACTTTATAAGGATGATGACCTGTGGTACCATCCTCAGTGCCCTGATGGGACTAGCCACATAATAAAACTAATCACTGCTCAAATAAAACAAATAATTTTGTAACAACTGAAGATAACTATATATCATACCTTTGATCTTGCGAGCTGGTTTTTCTTAACAGCATAGTTAACAGGAGTATTCCCAAACTTCTTTTTCTCTGAAATAATCTGCAAAGCAATGATAATATAATATAATAATTAGCATGAGTATGAATGAGGGGATTGTAAGATACTGGTCAGCCAATTAGCTATTCCAAAGATGAAGAAAAAAACTGGGTACAGCTGGCATTGGAGTGCATTTAGGGGCTGTTTTAGTGGACATATTTAAAAGATGGCATTTATTTAGTCCCCTAAAAGAGCCCCCCCCCCCCCCAAATCTATCAGTTTTCTCTGTAATCACAGAGTGGGACAATCATGAACGGAACCCTCAGATGCATGCTAGGTGAAAGCCCAAGATTGAATTGGAATTTAGAAGTTGGGTTTTGCGGAGGGAGGAAACCCCGAAAACCCTCGATGCACAGGAGAGAACCAATAAACAACTCTACTCATATACAACACTGAGCATGGAGAGACTCAAACCCGGGTTGCATTTGTGAGAGGAGAAAATGCACTGCGATGCCAGCTTGACCYATTTTTTCTCCCTGCAAGCTTGGAATGGCTAGTACTCTTTATTATAACTCAGGAGAAGTGTGCAATACAACAAAAGTGACAGGAATAATGTTCTAGCATTGTCAAACAATGTAGGAATGAACATGGAATTGTTGTCAAAAGATTAATGTGCACAATTTAGTCTTCTCAAAAAATGTAAAAACAATTTCACTTGTTTGATTTTTGAAACACTTTTCATTAGCCAAGGGAAAAAAACTTTCCCCCACTGCTCAATCAGGTTCTTTTAGGGCCAAGCTGTTGAAATAATATTAGGCCAAACAAAAAAATAAGTGTGATTAATGTTGCATGAGAAAAATAATTGGGGTTGGTATGTTGGATTTTTTAAATTCTATTTTACTGATACAACAGTGGAAATGAGCTTACTAGGAACCCTGTGGTGCATTTGGAATGAAAAAAATATTAGGGTCGGCAAAAATCGGCAAGAAAATTAGAGTCGGTCGCGCAACAGGAAACACACTTATTTGTTGTTGGGCCTTATGCATTACATGTATATAGTTTCCTAGCCTTAGTTTTCTTTCCTTTTATCTCAGTAGCTTCATTATGGTGTCATGACTACTCTCAAAAATTGCTTATTAAAAGGTTTTCTTTCACCAAGTTTCATAATTAAAAGATTATCATATCCCTAAAATATTGTAACCTTTTCAATGTCTTCTTCCTTATACATGTAATTGACAGCACTCTTGATATCTGCATCTTTACGCTCTATATCATCCAAGTTTGGAATGGGAATATCGTGCTCCTCGCACTAAAATGAAACAAAGAATATGGCTACAACATCACCAGTGATTTACTATTCTTGCTATAGTTATGACTATCCTTGAAAAAAAACTACCATCAGGTTGACTCAGTGGGTTGAGCATCTAGCACATGAGAATTAATGTTCATTTGATGTGTTACTTTTTTGTTTTATGATGTTAGCACTTTTAAAAAATTCAGTGGCTAACAAACTTTTGACTTCATTTCAAGATCGAATAAAGAATAAACCTTATTTGTCTTGGTGCAACGTTTTCCCATTACAGACCATGGTCATTTCCAAGATTACCGTTTTTTAAACTGTTGATCATGAAAGAAAGTACATAATTTATATGGATGCAACTTCAACAAAGAATTTTAAAATCTAGGAAATGATATGTGGTCTGTAAATAATGGGAGGTTATCATAAAAATGCTTTACATCTTTATGACGAGTGGATAACTTTAGGGATGGCATATTAAGTGGATAACTTTAGGGACGGCATATTAAGGCACTATTAGCAGCCATGCAGCTTTTAAAACAGTCAGGAGTGAAATGTAATGGTTAAACATGGCACCAAAGTCAGTTATGGCGATTACTACTTAATACTTTCACATACCTCTTCTTTCCATCTTTGGAATTCTGTCTCAGTTATCCTTTGATTTGAGACAAACTCAAGCCTGAAAACCCTTTCTTGTGGACCATGTCTAGAAACAAATCAAAATGTACATTTACTTAGGTGGGGGTGCTTTTTCATTTCTATTTTATTTTACTTTTCCTGTTAAAACGGGAGGCATCAGCTTTTGCCAATTACTGTGAACCCTGTAGCGTAAGCAAGGACACTGAAGATGGTGACCAGTTGACACAATCTTCATTGGGTCTTTTATGTTTGCCTCATGCAGGCAAGGGTGGATCCAGGGTAGTTTACGTGATTTCCGTAAACTACTCAATTTTTTTCAAAGCTACACATCATTTCTTTCTAAATAATGTCAAAATAT